ATATATATATATATATAAATGTGTGAATAACTGTGTTAAATGAAACCCACTTTGTAATTTTCTGAACCTCACAGGCGAAAACGAGCTGTAAAACCCACCCAGAAAACACTTGATTAACTCAATGGGGAGGTAGACTGAACAGTGAAGCTATAGCCCCCCTGCTTCACTACAGAGGGAGAAAAAGGTTGAATTATTTAGTTTTTAAGTTACTCTTCTTAATTTAACTAACCACAATAGTTACTATTCCATTGGTTTTAGTAAAACCTGAAAATGGTGTTTGGAATATATGCAACTCAGTGTATTTGTGGCAGAGCTAAAGGAAAAAGTGGAGAGGCTAAGGAGCATCAGGGCGTGTGAAAGGGAGATGGATTGGTGGAGCCACTCCCTGATGCACACACAGCAACGTCCACGTGCAGCCGGGGATCTCCCTCATCTCTGGCCATCAGGTCAAAGGAGGGGATCTAAGAGACGGGAGGGAATGGCTGGGAGAGTTAAGGTGAGGCCACATCTGGAATATGTCCAGTTTTGGGCCCCTCAGTTCAAGAAGGATAGGGAACTGCTGGAGAGAGTCCAGCGCAGAGCCACAAAGATGATAAAGGGAGTGGAACATCTCCCTTATGAGGAAGGGCTGAAGGAGCTGGGTCTCTTCAGTTTGGAGAAGAGGAGACTGAGGGATGACCTCATTAATGTTTATAAATAGGTCAAGGGGGAGTGTCAGGAGGACGGAGCCAGGCTCTTTTCAGTGATGTCCAATGACAGGACAGGGGGCAATGGGTACAAGCTGGAGCGCAGGAGGTTCCACAAAAATATTAGGAAAAACTTTTTCACTGTGAAGGTGACAGAGCACTGGCACAGGCTGCCCAGGGAAGTTGTGGAGTCTCCTTCTCTGGAGACATTCAAAACCCACCTGGACATGTTCCTGTGTGACCTACTGTAGGTGATCCTGCTCTGGCAGGGGAGCTGGAGCTGAGGTCCCTTCCAACCCCTGACATTCTATGATTCTGTGATAAACTGTAAAATACAAAATTGTAGTTTATCATAAAGATTTATCATATAGTTTTTCACAAAGTGAAAAGTGTTTTAATGAAAAATAGAATATACATTTTAGAAGAAGAGTAGTTCTATTGATAATCTTATCTCTGAATGGCTTTATACATTCAGAATGTTTTATTAAATGTGTGTTATTTTAAGCAACTAACACAAGATTTTACAAGTATTTAAGGAAAAAGGTAACGATAAGTTATTTCAGAAAGTTGACAATGTTGCTTTGAAACTGATTGAACATGGCTTTTAATAGCTCTTTATCCTACTACTTAATTTTTGCCAGTACTTTTATTTTGGAGGATGTATGTTATCAATTCAATCCATTAAATAGTCATCCATTTCAGCGTTGCTCGGCAGCTTTCCTCTTTGCTCAACTCATGAGGGAAAACAATAACTAAGGAATTAAGAAGCCTTAAAACTGAACAAATGTCTTGAAAGATACTAATTGATAGAGGCATACTGTTAGACATGCTATTTACAGATTTTAAAAAAAAAGTAGCATGGTAAGTACCTCAGTAGGAGACATCCTTATATGCTTCACTGCCATCAACATCTGTTTGTACGTCTATCTTAGATTGTCTCTAAGCTTTTGGATAATTTGGTATTTCCGTATAAGTATTATTTAAAAAAAAATGATGATCTTATTAGTTCTGTTGCATCTTCTTAAAAGAATAACCTGAGGCACTTACAGTAAATCACAAGTCTTGGTCAATGTCCTCTTCCTTCCTTGATAAAATGAGGAGTAAAAGCTCATAGCATATTCCATTCTGCATCTCTGTCATTTCTTTTCCTGATATCTTTTACTAGTTGTTTAATTTTAATGATTTAAATTTGAATTAAAAAAAGATTATTTGTATTTGACCCATGGAAAGAAATTTAGAAGATATGAATTTCCTCTGAGTTTCGTGATATTTGGTAGCTTGGTAGGTTACAGGGACTCAATTTAATGTCCACCTCCCATCCCTGGAAGAGAGGCTGCACAATGGATTTAATAACTGTTGCAGCCAGTCAGTATCGTGTAAGCTCAAAAACAGCCAAAAATTTGTGTTCTCTTTACCAGGTGGTTGTTAAGGATCTCTTTTCACCATAGGAGACATCTGGATATTACATTGTTGAGATGTTTAATAGATGCAGGAGTGAAAGGAAAGACTTGGGTGGATGAGTTCGTGTGGGCTTTTGTGCGGGTGATGGGAACAAGATACTGCACTGGAAGGGACATCTGAGCTGTAGGCTGCAGACGTAGGGAAACCTTACTTCATGTGTTCTTGTGTTTACTGAGCCGCTTGTACTGTTGTTTTTTCATGTTGTAGTCATGGTTGCTGTGCTTGAAATGTCATTACAGGGCAAGACATCTTCTAAAAAAAACCCTAAACTTATCTTGAACTAGCTGCTGAAAAAGAGATGATGACTGGTTACTGCTGAGCAACTTCTAGCAGCATTTTTTAAATACAACTCTGAAAAGTAGCTTGTACATCATATTCAGAATGATGCCCAGATCTGAAAAAGTAAAGCCCTTTAGAGTTCTTCGAGAACCTTCCTCATGGTGACCAGTTTTCTGTTTACGATAAGCATTTTCCTGAGACAAGAGAACTATAATTTCAGTTCTAGTATTTTTAACTATACTGTTAAAATTTCTTGTACCTTTGCAAACTATTTTGATGAGCTTTACAAAAATGTCCTCCTTTCTTTCATGTTTGTACATTTCAGTATGTGCATTGTGATGAGCTTTTTTTCCCAGTCCTCCTTCCCTGTCTGACACTATAACTTCATCCCTGTGCTTATACAGTGTGAATTTTGTCAAAATCGGGGTTTACAGTTTGCTCCAGTTGTTGTATTTTGTCCCGCTCGAGTGGAGGAGCTCACTGTGGTTCAGCTACGTGAAAGAAAAGGCAAGTCTGCTTGGGGTTGCCTTGTTTACCTTAAAGATAACAATATATTTTTGCAGGTGCAGTGTGAAACCACTCAGCGCTCCTGCAAGCGCTCTCGTGTTACGTGTTTGTCGCATAAAACCATTCCTGTGAGAGCAGCAGTGTTGTGTGAAGGGTTTCTGCTCCCAGCCTGCGGTAGCTGCAGGGATTCCCTGGAGCAGGTATCCAGGTTACCATCCTTCCGGAGCCATAGGAGAACAGGTGGGAGGCAGCAGCAGCATCTGTCCTCCTCAGAAGAGCAAAATAAGTGCTTTCACTGCATTTACAACAAATCTGAAACTAAATATTTAACACACCTCCCCCCTCCCCTTTTGAAAAGAATTGATGCTTCTAATCTCAGGTCAAGTTTGCACAATATAAGCCCCTTCCCCCCTCCCTTCTCCCCATAAAATTGTGGTTTATGTTAAACGTTTAGAATGAATGAGGCTAGTGAGAGAGGGAGGCAGCACGGCTATTTCTGGATTTGCATTATAAAGTTATGAAGATTTGTCTCTTGGAAAAAAAAAAGATTTTCAGTGACAGATTGCAAACTTACTTACTTTCCTCTGATTTTTTTTTTAATGCATTTTAGTTTTCGTACCAATCCATCAATACACAGATAAAACTGAAATAATGATTCAGAGGATGCCTTGTAGTATGCCTAGCTTACTGAAGAAACTTATTCCTCGTTACCAACCAGAATGCAGGAATATTGTAGTTCAGCCAGAGATACGTAGCAGTTTTGGACTTAAGAGCAAGGCTTTATGCTATTTAACACAAGAACTTTAGAGGTAGACAAATTGTGCATTTCATAGAATCACAGAATGGCATAGGCTGGAAGGGACCTTAGGGATCATCTAGGCCAACCTCCCTGTTTTGGACAGGGACACCACCTCTCAACTAGACCTGGCAACACATGGGGACCGAGCGGGAATTGAACCCGTGACCTCAGTGTTGATCCTTATTGCCAGCACCGTGCTCAAACCACTGAGCTAACCGGCCTCCTAATTTATTTAATTGTATTTTGGAGAACAATTTCCAATATTTCAAATACGCTTTTAAGATACGTGGAGAGCACAATTTGGAAGAAAGCCAATCAAAGTCAATTAGCACCCAGCTGGTGGTGATGTTATCATTGTTACGGGGTGTCTTTTGATTAAGTGAAAAGCTGTGGTTGTGCATTCAGCCCTTGCTGAAGCTGATTACAAAAGGTATGTGTAGGTAGGCAAAGACTATCCATAGATACCTTTTGAAATACTATTGTCCTGAGCAATAGGATTTTGGATAAAAACTTCAAATAGTTTCCAAGCTCCAGAAGCTGGGTACTTTTGAAATTTCAATCCTCTAAGCTGATGATCAGCAGGCAGCTTAGTGTACTTGGCTGCTTCTCAAGATTTCTCTGCTGGTGGAGAGCACCTTCTTTAGTGAAGTTAATGATTGTTATATACTTAGAGATTTTCACTGTCTACCCCTTACAGCAGACTGCCTTCATGTACAGGTTCAGGAGAGAGTTTTGTGTTGATACTGGAAGCCTGCTATTTCAGCAAGCCTTCATCCGTAGCGTGCATGTCTCAACATGAGTCAACAAGATTCTATGGATACTCAAAATATTTTGAAACCATATGAACAGAATGTGTATTTTCCTCTGGCTAGTAAAACTCAGTCATAAAGTCTTCATAGATTCATAACGTGTCGATTCCAACCAACTTGGCAAATAAATTGTTTGTTAAAGCATATTCTGGCTGTAAGTCCAAACTGCATTTAAACAAAATAGCATTTCTTTCCTGCCAGGTATTGGACTGGCCGTTGAAGACTCAGATTTTCTATTCAAGCGGGTTGGAGCAGATTTTTGTCTTGACCTTCCTAGAGAAGAATGTTAGTACAAAATTTGTCCTTTGTACGAGTTTTATGGAATGAGGAGAGAGGAATTTTTTATATTGCCTGTTAGTATAATATGATGTCCTGAATTAACAACAACAAAAAAATCAATTCATATACTCTTTGCTTTTTGAAAGAATTGGTGATTCAGCAGAAGAGAAATAATTTCAGCACTGTTACTTATATAATGGGATTATTGCAGCTTCCTCAGATACTGATTATGAGACTAGATATTAAAATGTTAGACAGAGTATCTTTCAGAGAAGGGAACTTGATCTGGAGATGTGTGCTAGGATTTGAGAGTGCCTTTTTTCAGTAATATGTGCCTGAATCCAGATTAGATACCATCTCAGTAGTGATGTAAAAAAGCTTATGTTATGACTAATTTGCCACTAATTACTTACGCTTTTGTGCTGTACGTAAGCAGCATGAAAAATTAGTCTTATCATTTAATGTCTTCATCTTCTGAATAGGATCGCTGATGCTGTTGTACGCTTTGTAACACGTAGCAATTCATCTCTTGTGATGACCTGCTTGTTTCTCATTTACGCTTATGCTTTTGTCCTTTATACATCTGCTTTTATATGCAATTTTTTGTTCTTCTTATTTTTGTATTCTAGTCCTTCTTTGTTATTCTGTCTCGTATCTGCCCTCTTTTTCTTTGTCCCAGTTTTTGGCATCTATTGTAGTCATCAGAGATTTCCATCTAGCGTTATGTGACAGGTTCTTCTGTAGGAGTTTACAGGACATATGCTGAGAGGAATTTCATTTGTTCTCCCTTTGCAACTATGCTCGTGTCTAAAATTGTGTTAAAATGCAATAGAAATGCAGAGGAATACTCTTTGGTGCCTCTAAACACTGCCTCTGCCTAAACTTGCCCTGTTATTATCTGATTAAGCTTCTGCAAATTAGAAGTAGACAAGAATGCGTTGAATTTCAGAGTCTTTAACTGGACAGTGAATATTAGATATTGAAGTGCAGTTAATTTACCTAAGTGCCTGTCATTGACTGCAAGAAAGTTGTACAAAATTACCAGTATGAGAGTTTAGTTTTACATTTTGGCACTGCATTATGCACTTAAATAAACAGCCACATATTAAAAAACTAATAAAATGAAATATAGAAAAGAGAGAACTTTCTTTCCCAAAGGCTCCAAAGGATTATCAAGCTAATTGCTACATTTTGATTTTGGTTTTGTAGAAGACCGTATTCAGTCAGGGAATATAGTGTTAAATCTTTTTAATTTTATCAGATTTTTTTAACTTCTGATTATTTATAGCACTATTTTGGTTTTATCATCAATGTTGGGTTTCAATAGACTTATGTTCTAGTCAGACTAAAGCAGTATACCAAGGATGAATTACACTAGTACATAACTGGAGCAGTCCAAAGGAATACCTGACTAATTTCTAAATATTTTAATGTAATTGTAAATGTGTAAAACTACTTTGATTGTGTTTTCTGTATAAATATCTGTCCCAGAATCATTAGATGGTGTTAAAATACCTGAAAATACAAAATATTATGCAACAGCAAAAAGAAAGAGTGCCACATATTAATATATACTGGATATACACTAAAATGTCTGCAAGATTTTTTATTCTGTTTGCACAAAATACTGGAATTTGTTTCTGTCAGTCAGTTAAGAGATCCAAGTCCAGCTCATGAAGGTGTAGCACTGGTAAGAAAGTCAGCTGTCCCTCTTTCTGATCACTACTGATGTGAATCTTATTGATTCTGACAGAAATAAATACAATTCTGGGAAGCATCTGGAGATTCTTTTGCAGAAGGATTTAATGAGATATGTAATGTTTATTTCTATTATAATACCGAGGGATTTTTAATTATTTTTTTTTTTAAAGTGCGCAGTTCGTGCAGCTACCGAAGGCAGAATCCTTGTGCTGGAAGGTTTGGAGAAGGCTGAGCGGAATGTCTTGCCGGTGTTGAACAATTTACTGGAGAACAGGGAGATGCAGCTTGAAGACGGTCGTTTTCTCATGTCTGCAGAGCGTTATGACAAACTTCTGCAGGTATAGAAATGCTGTTTGGATTTTCCTTTTTTTTTTTTTCCTGTTCTTGGCAGTACTGGAATACAGTTCTGAGAGGGAGAAGTCAAATGGGGGAAATCTCACTAAGTTTTCTGTGGTTTGTGGTTTTGGTTTTGTGTTTCTTTTTGAAATGTTACATAGGATGAAATAGGCAGGGTGAAAGCTATGCAAGAAGTCAAACTACTGCTTGCACCACCACCAAAAAGTTTTCATCTGTGTCTTGTCTGTCCACAGGAAAAAGAGTAGTCCATGTTAACCTTGTATGACCCCGGTAGGTTTTTAAAATGTGAAAGCCACAATGTGAAAGTAGCTAAAATATACTTGTGAAAAGCTATTTAAGTTGAAATTGTTCCCTTGAGGTTCAAATAATGCTTCAACATTGCAATAACCTTGTTGCTAAGCTTTTAAAATGTTAGGATACCAAGAAACAAAATGAGGTCAAAATGAGCAATACTATATTCATCGGTGCTGCCTTGCTTTTAATTTACAAAAGTGTGTGTAAAAAGCCAATCAAAGTTCTAGGAAATGGTTAGAGAATTTTCTTTTGATAGGAAATGGGATTTTAGTGTCTGCTCCCTTTGCTGCTTTAGCCGTTCACCTTTTCTTTCAGGCTTTGAGTCCTACTGCTGAAATTTGAGTGGATACTTCTCAGGTTTTTGGGGACGTCAGTAAATTCCATCAGACAGTTTCCAATAGTACTCTGCATTTTACTTTCATGTGCTGTACTTTCCAATCACATACCTGTCAATCTGTCCCAACAGTCTGATGCCTGCTTGCTCCTGTTTCTGCCTGTCTTACGTGACTGTGGTTACGTGTATAATTCAGACCCACGTGGCCCAGGAAGGAAATTTCCAATAAGCTTTCTGTCATTGATCCCGATTGTATGAAGTTGCCAGCCATGCTGAAGTACTGTAGTGGGTTTCTGAAAACATATAATTTTTTTTCTTATGCCTCTCATCTGTCGTTAAAATTCTTCTGAGCCTTGCCTTTTCTAAAAATGCTATTGATATTTAATTAGTAGATGCGGTTGTTGGAAGCATTATTATTATTTTTTAAAAGTAAGCTTTTAAAATGTAATTGTATTTAAAGATTGAAAATGAGAATTCAGACTTGTGCAGGATTTCATTGCGGTTATACAAAGTATTTTCCTCTCTTTTCCTTTTTAACACTTCTCTAATGATAAAATGTTTCAAAATGAGTGCTTGGGGCACACTGCTAATAGTATATGAATTAAATAAATCTCTTGCTACAGCACTAAATCTAATATTGTTGTTTGGTTGTTTGGAGAATATTGTATTATATAAGCTAATGTTCATTTTCTCTCTCCTGTGTGAATAATTACTGTACACTTAGGTCTGCAGGAAATGTACTCATGTACGGTTTCAAGGAAGACTTAACTGTGATGTGGGAAGACTAAAGCATATGCAATGAATTTTTCACATGATGACAAGTGCAATACAACATTTAATGACCTCATGGAGTCTAGTTCTGTATTATTGCTTGTAATAAAGCTTAATTTGTAAATGGAAGTTAAAATGTGAATTTTAATCTGTCTTAATTATAAGAGGTGAAAAAAGAAGAAAAAAATATACTTGCTCATGGTAACCCTGTTCTGTAGTTTTAGAGCAAGATAAATTTTGCCGTCTATTTATTTTCTGTTCTTTGTGAAAACAATGTTGTAACGATACCTTTTCAACTTGGACCGGCTGTGGGTCTTAGGTCAAATTGCTGCGGGCCTGAAAGCTGCAGCTGATGAAGCATTTGGAAAAACTTGGGTTTACCATCGAAAAGTTTGCCTAGTTCAGTGCTTTCTAGCACCTCTGAATCAAAGATGAGAACAGCACCACATTTAGATTGAAGGATCTGTTGCTGTTAGTTTGTGGCTGGAAAGCTGCCAGATGAAAGGGACCTGGGGATTCTAATAGAAAATCGGCTGAATGCGATGCAGCAGTGTGCCCAGGTGGCCAAGAAAAGCCAATGGCTTTGTGGCTTGTTTTAGAGCGTGACCAGCAGGAGTAGGGAGGTGATTGTCCTCCTGTACTCGGCACTGGTGAGGCCACACCTTGAGTTTTGTGTCCAGTTTTGGGCACCTCAATACAAGAGAAATTCGAGGTGCTGGAGTGAGTGCCGAGGAGGGCAACAAAGCTGGTCAGGGGACTGGAGAATAAATCTTAGGAAGAGCAATTCAAGGAACTGGGGCTGTTTAGTCTGAAGAAGAGGAGGCTGAAGGGAGGCCTCATTGCTCTCTACAACTACCTAAAAGGACGTTGTAGAGAGGTTGGTGCTGGTCTCTTCTCACAGGTAAACAGCGATAGAACAAGAGGGAATGGCTTCAAACTGCAGCAGGGTAGGTTTAAACTGAACATTAGGAAAAATCTTTTCACAGAAATAGTAGTCAGGCACTGGAATAGGCTGCCCAGGGAGGTGGTTGAGTTGCCCTCCCTGGGTGTGTTTAAAGGTCGTTCGGATGTGGTGTTGGGGGATATGGTTTAGCGATGAGCTTTGTAGTGTAGGGTTAATGGTTGGACTCGATGATCCCAAGGGTCTTTTACAACCTGAATTGTTCTATGATTCTATGATTCTAGTCAATCTGCAGCTTAGCCATCATAAGCTTTTAACAGTGCAATGTTTTCTTTCTTGTTGTTGCTTTATTTTGATTAATTTAGGATCATACAAAATCGGAGTTAGATGCCTGGAAGATTGTTCGAGTCAGTGAAGATTTTCGAGTGATAGCATTGGGCCTGCCAGTACCTAAATACTCCGGCAACCCTTTGGATCCCCCACTTCGATCTCGGTTTCAAGCTAGAGACGTTTATCATCTGCCCTTTAAGGTAAGTGTCCTAGCAGAAGAGTTGGATTATCTGTACTGAGTGGAGCTAATATTTTGACATTATATTTTACTTGCCTGACCTCTGAAAAGAATCCTTGAGTCAGAAATTTACTGTAAAGGGTATTTTTTCATACCGTGGCCTAATTCCTGAAAAGCAGGCTTATGTTGCCAAGGAATACTGCAGCAGAATAATAACTTCCGTAAAATAGAATAACGCTAAAAGAAAGGTTTCATAATCTTTTTGTTGGATTTTTTTTGTAAGTAAAGTTAATTCTGTGTCAAGGAGCAAGTAAGCCCTTTATGTCTAGTACATCATGAGCTGTGACCCACAGTACAATCCCAAAATTAATTTACTCACTGATTTTGTGTTCTATTTTCAGGATCATCTTCAGCTATTATATTCGATTGGATCAAACATTTCCACAGAGAGGTAATTTTTCATAATTAAAAAAATTAAAATGGAATGAATGAAGAAAAGCGATGTCCTTGCAGGATTCCTTGCTTTTTTTGTATCTTCAATCACTACATAGAGACCAGAACTGGAGAAGTTTTTTAATATGTGTGGGTGTATGCTCTCACAGCTTTTCGTGTGCAGCCTTCATATAATGAACCCTTAATGCTTTAGAACTTCGATCACACCTTACTTATTTGTGTTCAGAAATAGATTCCACATCTTATACTATATTTAATTTTCTAGGCTTTAGTATTTTTAAATATAGATAGCATGTTTGAAGCTCTGTAATTACTTTTTTCCTATGCAGAATTTCTCAGCTCCTGTCTTTTGCTACAACTCTCAGCTCTCAAGAGTCTTCTACATTGGGACTTCCAGATTTTCCTTTAGACAGTTTATCAGCTGCGGTTCAGATCTTGGTATGTGCATACACATGTGCTGTGAAACTGTATGGGCTTAAAAATTCTCAAAATTAGATCTGGATTATTCATGTTGTTAGAAGATTAACACGAATGTTTAAAAAATATATTCAAACTAAGTTAAGGATAGTTTGAAGGAGAAAAGCCCCAGTCAGATGTCTCTGGGACCTACTGGAGAGAGTCCAACGGAGAACGACGAGGATGTGAAGAGAGACTGAGAGAACTGGGGCTGTTTAGCCTTGAAAGGAGATGACTGAGAGGGCACCTTATTAACGTATACAAATATCTGAGGGGTGGGTGTCAAGAAGAAGGGGACAATCTCTTTTCACCGGTGCCCAGTAATAGAACAAGAAATAGTGGGTTTAAGTTAGAACATAGGAAGTTCCACCTCAGCATGAGGAGAAATTTCTTCACTGTGAGAGTGACAGAGCACTGGCACAGGCTGCCCAGAGAGGTTGTGGAGTCTCCTTCTCTGGAGACATTCAAAAGCCGCCTGGATGAATTCCTGTGTGGCTGCCCTAGGGGATCCTGCTCTGGCAGGAGGGCTGGACTAGGTGATCTTTGGAGGTCCCTTCCAACCCCTGACATTCTAGGATTCTGTGAATTTATAGCACTTTAACCATGTATATGGCATAATACTGAAGGACATAGTATGGCATGACACAGGATTTGTGATGTGATTAAATGTATCTTAGCGCTGAAAAGAATGTTTTTTATCTTGCTAAATTGTCCTTCGGGACTTCATTGGTATCCACAGTTTACCTGATGACACTGAGGTAATCAGTGGAGAGAAATAAAAATCACAACCTGGGAGTGTTTCGGAATTAACAATATGCATGTAAATCAGATTGATTGCCTTGTGAAGATGCCCATTACTCTCCAGTGACACCTGAAAGGACAGAAAGCAGTTTTACAAACATGGATATAGGAGACAGTTAAGTTGTATGAGATGAGGCCTGCATTAGGTCTTTGGGTTTCCGGTGGATTGTAGAGTAAACATAGATGCAGAGTTTTACCTGAAGCTGCAGACTGTGCACGCTTGAAGGTGTAACTAATCCTTCCTGACGGCTGCGGTCCGTAGGAAACAGAACAACTGTCTACTTGCTGGGTTCACAGTGGGAGAACATGTGGTCATCTCACAAAGGTAAAATACCAGGACAGCTTCTCAAACTCCTTTCCAAGCTGCAGGTATCTGTAGAGAGGACTTTTAGGATAATTCTCTGTTGTGTCTCCTGTGCAGTCATTTTACATGTGTAAATTTTACCTATGTAAAATGGCTAGTGGCAGATCACTTCTACGTATTTTATTGGTTTATACACGTTAAAACATACCAGTTACTTGTGTTACTCTGGTGCTTAGTCCCTGCAGTTGGGCTGGATACTTGCAGACATAATTTTTTTCTGAATTAGTGGTACTACATCAGATGTTAAGAAGTTATTAAAAGTCAAGCTCAGAGAAATGAAACAGTATTTCAGAAAGAAATACATGTTGGATTTTAAAATAAATTGCAACTTCTTCTTCTTTGAGCCTTGTAGTGAAAAATTATTCTTAAATGAATGCCAGATGGCTTTCAGAGTAATGGAAAGAAAGTGAGCCCTAAGCTATTATCTTAACTATGGAATGAAGGAGGCATTTTGTTTTATGTTAGACAATGTGAAGTGTTATCATTGTGTGACAACATCTTTTTTAGGTAGATGAGAACTGTTTCTTTTAGTTTTAATCACTTGGTGTTTCAGAGCAGACTGTTCTCAGCGAATCTAACTTGCTGGGTCACTGCCATGCACTACTTGTAGCTTGGTTGATTTAATGGTTTAAAAGTGTGGCTTCTTATCTTCTGTCATGGATTCGCACAGTCCCAAAATGTATTTCTTAGGCTGAAAATTCCTGCCTGCTGAAAGGGAGAATTTTTCATAGGGTACTGTTCTGAAGAGGCTAATTTCATACACGCCATTGTAATTATTATTCATTTGAGATAATGTGGACAAATTATATGTTGTGTCTTTATATATAGACAGAGGGCTTTTAAAATGCAATAAAGGGCTCCCTGATCCTTTAAGCAGTACATTTACTGTAATGCCTTAAATGGTTTATTTTTGCTGATCTTTTCTTAATATGGAACATTATAAATAGTATTACTGATTATAAGTATGAATTGAATAAAACATGCATCTCCTGATTTAATTTCTAAGCAACTCTTCTGTCAGCTGGGTTCCAAGTGTATAACTGAAAATCAGTTGATTTTATTTGAATTGTATAATTTACTTATTTTGATGAAGGCTTGAAAAAGTAGTGCCAGTCCACTGACTGTTTTTCACTAGTATTACCCACAAGTAGTCCTTAAAAATTTGCAAATATCTTTGAAAACAAACAATCAAGCATTACCTTAGGGTTTTTGAAACACTTTTTCCACCATGCATGTATTTCTTGAGTACACATAAACACACTTCCATTTCTTTCTTCATTATTGCAGCAAAGTTGTTGAATCTTTGTGTAGTTCAGGCAGCAACTGACAAAAGAGTTAGTATTTAAAAGGAGATAGTAAAAAAAAAAAGCTACTTTCAATTTTGCATAGAAGACAAAAGCCTACACAGTAACTAATTTCAAAACCACAGTTTTGATCAAATTGTTCAGAAATTTCTAGGATTAGATTTGTTAAATAGAATCTGTACAGTGAAATAGAAACAAAATTAAGTACTAGAAATTGCTGTGAATGAGTAGATCATTACTGGAATATGGATTCCTTGTCATACTGATTCTTTTCTAGTAGTGCTATGAAACTCGGTTACCCATGGTGAGATTTGTTTCCCCTAACCCTAAATGTCTTCAGGTGTCTCAGCTACTCACTGTAGCTTCCATTTATGCACAGGAAAGCAAGTAATTTTTAGGACATAGTTCTTCTAATCTACTTTAGACATTTATATTATGAATTGCACTTGAGAAATGCCTTTTTTGATATTTGATTGAATACTGCATGTAGTAGTCATTTGTATATTGCCCTTATAACTTTATCTTAAATTCAGCACTATATGGGATTTTCATATTAATAGCTGGTGATAGAATGAGCCAATCACTTTCTAAAATTTCTGTGTTTTAATTTGAATTAGAATTCCTTCCCTATGATGTCAGTCCAGCATGTTATTGACCGGCTTTACCCCTATGATGTTTTCCTTGGAAAGGAAGGCAAGACTGCAGTCAAAGATGTGTTAAAAGTAAGTATTGCACATACATATTATAATTCCAAGGAGTGCTGGATTATGATAGTAGTTTTCCTGACTACGTCTGACTCTCCTGACTCTCTGTACCACTTCTGAGGAAGAAAAATATAAAAAAATTGTAAATAAACTAAATGGCTGTGTTACTGCTGATGCTAAAACAGTATTTAAAAAACCCCAAACTTCATAAACTGGTAGATTTCATTACAGTGAAAGGTGAAACCTCTATGTTCTGTAGAATATTTAAACCTCATTTGAAGACTACAGAAAAAAATCATTATTATATAAGTGGTGAATTGACTTGAAAGTAGTTACTTTATACAGTCAAGGTAGTCAAATGCTTTAAAACTACCTCTGGCATTTAACTTTTAAGAGGAGATACTAAAACAGTAATAGAGATCACATGCACCAAATACACTCAGTATAGTATGATTATAGATTATATTAGTCTCTGGTTTTAGTCTGTGTTAGCCTTTTGTTGCTTGTTGTTGGTCGGATCTGTTAGTTGTTTTTTCCATGTTTAATAATCGTTTGTAAAGCCTATAATTATGCTGGGTTATTCCGTTTATCCTGGTAAAACTTCATCACAGTGCCAGCTTTCTTTCATTTCTGAGTATGTTGTAGGAGTTATATGTTTTGTTGGACAGTAGTGTTTGTCACCTAGAAGATCTTATCCGTCTCTCTCAGTCCTTAAAATTTATTTGTGTGTACATATTTAGAAATAACCATCTTTGTAGCTAGTGAATTTTTGATTTTCCTGAAACCAAGCCTACATGTCAGGGAAATGTTCGTAGCCCATCCCTGCTGACACCTCTCCTGTATGGCCTTTCTGCACTGGAGCTCAGTTCCATATTCCCTGTTTAATCAGACTGGTCTTCTCCTTGTCTTTCTGAGTTTTGGGGTGGACAGTCCTTGCATTTGAAGGAGGTTGTCCTGAATGACCTGCTAGCTTTCATCAACTTTCAAAGCTACTTCCTGTGGGGTCCTACCTACCACTTCTCTGAATAAGTTAATCTGGCCTGAAAGGCAGGGTCTGTAGCCAATGTTACTTGCCTTCATCATTCCCCCTCAGGATTTTGAACTCTGGTATCTCATGGGTCATAAAGCCAAGGCTGCCGTTGATTGACACACGCACAACCAATTGCTCTTTCCTTGTTTATGAACGGCAGGAGCTTCTCTGTGTGTCAGCCCTGCCCGGCCAGTACGTCGCCGGTGTTGAGATGCTGTTCCAGGCAGCCTCGGGAATCCAGGCTGTTTGCATCTCGTGCTGTGTTCCACCACGTATCAGAATGATTGAAGCTGACTGTAAGAACCATGGTTTGGGTGGTAATACAGACTTCTGTCTATCAGCAGAGCAGTGCCAGTCACTTCTGTTCTTAAGGTGCCTTCAAGTCCTATGTGCTATTTTGTTTCCCATGTCAGCGGTGAATAAGTTTCAGGACCAGCAGCTTCCACCATTTTCCATTTCTTTACATTTTATGTGTTGTGCGTACTTTTGCTTCCTATATTAGACAGGTTGATTTGACTAGTAAAATCTTCTGTCTCAATGATCGTCTACTTTTAAATACTTGCTTATTGTTTACATTTTTCTGTGTTAATTTTCTCCTTGTTTGATGCTCTTCCTCATCACTACTTAGATGAACTTGTCCCATTATGTCAACAAGGACATAAAATGTTCTTTGAGATTTTATTTTATTTACACACAACAAATATTGCTAAGCAATGAACCTTAACAAATTCAGAAAATAACGGATTGTACTGAGGAGCTTCTGTTCAAAATGATATTACAGTAATAGCAGCACGAGAACTGTATTAAATATGGGTAAGAAATTATTTTTTTCCATTCCATAAGAAATGTGAGCAGGAGAAGTCTGGCAGAGGCAAGGTGGTTTCTTACTCTAACTTCCTACAGACTTCCGAAGAGTGTCCACCTAATATTTGCCACTGAATATTTCTCTTTGTATAACAGAATACAGTTAGGAAATATTGCTCTTAATTGAGAAGCATTGACAACTTAAAAATAAATACTTGAAGCTTATTTGCAATTGATGGATTAACTAGCGTGCATTGAAACACTTCTTAACATCAGCTAACATTTAAAGGAAATAAAAACGAATTCCATGGAATAAAATGTAAAGTTTAGGCATCAGCCTTGGAGACAGATATGGAGACATAGTAACCTAGCTGGTAGCGTGTCTTAATTTCAGGATGTGTTCCAGTCAGCTGCTCGAGCTGAGAAGTGAGGTAGACAGCAGTTAGCCTCAACAGCTAGTTTTGGCAGCTGTGCTTATTTCTTGAAGAGATCATATTCTCTAGGTACTGTCTTCCCAAACATGATCTTCAGCTTGCATCAGTCTTTTCCTTATGTTCCTTCTTGTTCACTGAGACTCCACCAAGACCTAGATATTACTTATTCTAGGTATTTCTTATTCTCGATAATGAATTAATGTGAAATATTGACTTATACCTTCCCTGTGAGTGAAAGTAGTTTGTTACAGTGTTAGTCTTTGATGTGTAAAGATGCTTTGAAATGCAAATCTCTCGTTCAGGGGATCTAGTTGGAGTTAAAACCTGTCTTAGGCTTAACTCTATCTGTCAACCTACTTTTTCATTTGATTCATGTGATTCCTTTTGTCAGACTAGTTAGCATCAAAACAAAACGTGTGGGGATTGCACACTAAACCAGGATCGGCAGAGGTCTTGATAGTTGCATGTCATAGAGAACATTTGTGCAAGGGCTACAGTTTGCAGCATCATTAGTTCATTCCCTTGCAACAGACAGAACAGAAGTACCAAAATAAATTTGAGAGTAATGTGCCTTTTGTGTACCTTTACGTGAAGCTTCTGCACTTTGGAAACTGTGTGAATTTCTATTCCAATTCTTAAATAAGATCTTAAACTTAGAAGATCTGACAAAGGAAAATATGACTTGGTTTGAATTCAGGCCTTTACTGTTTTTCTGTGCTTACATTAAATATGGACATGAAAAATTATTTTGACTGACACATGAACATTTTGAAATATGATTGCAAAAACTACGTAAAAATTATTTAAGCTTTATCTCTAGAGGATTTAGATAAAGAGAAATTACTGCTTTCAGGGAAAACATACTTCCAGTTAAACATACTCAAACAATAACCTTAAGCACATATTATATCCCACAGTATTGAGGTTTTCTTTCCTGTACCCTATTGATAGGCATTTATAAAACTGGTCGTCTTCATTTAGGCTCAATTTGGTGGCTTATGAGAGACTCCAGCTGTTGTGTACTTATTTCTTCATCGTTCCATAAGCTTTTAGTGTTTTACATCAGATTCACTGGAGTTTTTATGTTTGCTTTTTTAATTGCCAGATGACTTTTGGGTGTCTTTTTGTTCCCCAGTGTTGGAAACACCCACTGTTTTGGTTTTTGCAACCTTCTGATCAAGAGAATCTTCCCATCAGGTTCTAGAAACAACATATGGATCAAATTTGTATTAACAAATGAGCGAGTCCCCTTTAGCCTGCTATCTAAGCATTTAACTTTGGTCTAAGACCCTTCTAGAATCTTTCTTCTTTTTTTTTTCATGCCTTGCTTAATTCTGTGTTTACTGTCTTGATCTTAAATAAAAGTTTGTTTGCTCCATTTGGCTCGGTTTTGTATTGCTTTCACACTCACTTTAACCTTATCTGACCTTCTCAAAAACTATTTCCCTGCCTCAAAGTAGGGAATCTTCAGACTACATAGGCACGTTCTCGTAGAGAGAGGGCTACTAGTTCAGAAAAGTGGAATCTTCTTTCTTGTCTAGACAATTCTGTTCACTTCTAAGATATTTCTGTTACACATTTTGGTCTAAGACAGGATTTGTTTCTCTTTTATTTCTCCCAGAGTAATCTATAACCGTTGGATTATAGATTATAGATTGGATTAGATTATTATATGGATATAGGTTATGGATTATAGATTATAAGAATACTCTTAATGCCAATATGTATCACTGTAGTGGAATCTGTCCTTCAGACTTCATCCATCTGTGCAGTCATGGACTTGCAGTTCATATTTTGTGTTTTTGTGCAACAATTCAGCCCTCTTGTTCTTTGAAAAATTCTCTTTCCTTCCCATGCAGAGACTCTTCAAGAAATGTCTGCTGCCTTTGGATGCCTCTTTTGAGTAACGAAGCTGTCTTGTGGGTTCAGCATAGTGGTTATCTGCAAGTAGTATCTCATAAGCTCTGTTTGTTTCACCAGCTGGATCCCCAGCGTATTCTTTGCAGTTTCCATGCTGAGACATTGCTGATCATTAGATACTTCCAAATGGCCAGAATTCCTCTTCTTACTTTTTTTCCTGATTTTTGCAGTTTGTGTTTTCTCATGTGTTTTTAGGCAAGCAAAATGTGGCCTGATGATTTTGAACTGCCAAACCACTTCCCTTGTTTTTGGTGGCTATCATTTTTATTTTCCTCCTGAGTCTGAGGCTATGAGGCTGCCCACTTGTGGCTCTCCATGTGTCTCCCAGACATTCTAATACTGAGTGTGCTCAGTAATTTGCCTTCCAAGCCACAAATATTTTTTCCTTTGCAACTATCAGCTTGACCTTTGTATAGAGGAAGTTGCTTCTGGCTCGGGCAGAAGTATGTTTAATGTGTTCTACATCGATTTCATGCCACTTTCTGATTGTGTATCTAGCTATCATAATTCTAAATGAAGAACTGTGTCAGAGATCTGTCTTCCTATGAAAGCCACAAAGTTGTTTGCTGCTCCTGTCTGGGTGTAAGTGTGGTAACTTGTTTAATTACTACATTATCCAATTCAGCAGCATCTCTGTGCTTACATGTGATGAATTCTAATTGTACATATTCAGTTAGATGAATTCAAGTTGTGTAAATTCAGTGATGATCTGCACAGATATAGTCCTCCTTCACTCTCCTGATTTAGAGTCTAAAAGGTTAGGTGTTGAACACTTAACAACGTTTTAAGAAGAAAAATAAAATAAAAACAAAACCAAAACCCCAAACCGAAAAACACCTTAGAAATTCACCTTTGTGTACAAGGTCTACTGCTGCTGTCTCTAAATCTTACTTGTTTGATGCAGAGGCTGCTGGTGCAGATAATCTTGCTGGCTCACAGTTAATTTTGTTGGTATCTGATAAAGGGATTTTAGTGTACAAGGAGTTTGCAATATTAATTTAGTAATGTTACAATTTACTAATGAACGTAAGAGTGAGAACATCTATAGTTCATTTCACAGAATCATCATTGGAGTATTTCTTACAACCAGTTTGTGTCATTCCTGTCCTCCGTTGTTTAAATGTTTAATAGTATCTGAAGTAGACTCAGTTACAATGAGAGTATAATTTGGTGTAGCCCTTTACTAAAGCATGTTTATCTTAAATTCATATTTAAACATGAAATTTTTGTAGGCTCTCGTTCTAGTTTACAAAATGATGAAGAGCCAAAGCATTTCTATGAATGTATCTCAGTTTTCTTTCTAAACTTTAGTTGACAGTGCTGTGAATCCTAGTAGTAATCAAGCTACATGCTTTTTAAGAATTATTTTACATTAGTGACTTCTTTTTTAAAAACGTCTTTTTTCCTAAGAATTCTAAGGAGGTGGTTAAGAGCCCTTTTTGTCTTGTTTACTTGGCTTTTGCTCTGTTGAATAAAATGGCGCTATGAGTTAAGTAATTTGAGTTAGTGACTTTTTTTGTGCATAAACTCCCTTGATGTGATTTTCTTCTTTCCAACAAAATAGACTTTTTATAATGTTTTTTTAAATGATTTTCATGCTTTTCATATACAGCATAAAATAGAGAGTATAATACTCAGAAGAGGACTGGGAAGACAAACGTCCCATTTTTTATTCTTTGGTCCTTAGTATACCTGGAACATGCTGAAGGCTTAATTTGTACAGGTTGTTCTCAATTTTCATTCTATGATAAAGCTGTGGAGCTAAGTAAACATTATGTTTGATTTATTTTTTTTTGTATTGGTAGCCAGATGTTTAGATCTGCAATTGGTTACAATGACCTGCAGAGATAGGTGATCTATGAGTACACATGCTAAAGGCTATCACCCGTTTCTCTGATTATTTTGGTCTGTCAGGCTAAGACTTGGCAAAGTCCCCATATGACATTTTCATTTTCCATCTGTTGCTACAGTCAGAATAAGTTGATGGTTTTAAACGTGCTTTGGTTTTAAATGGGAAATATATAGGCCATTGAGAATGTAAACACAGGTATGTGAAGTAAAGGTTGAAAAAAAGTAAACGGATTTAGGACTTCACAAGCAATTAATCTTGAATGTATTTCTGGCCTTGTTCTCAGAAGGAACAGTTCTGAAAACCAGCAAGCTGAATTTAATAATTAATTTTCCCTACTTTTTTCCCTACACCTTAATTCTACAGCGTTTTGAGCTTCAAGATTCAAAAAACCACTTTCATCCCAGAAAGATTACAAAAGTAGAAAGTTCACATGGAAACAAACCCTTCAAGGCTGATGTAACCGTCCAGATTGGTGAAAAAGAAGTGACGTTCCAGGTATGAATTTATATATTCATCGAACTATATGTGTTTTTACATATCATTAGTTTGTTTTCATCTCATTGAGAATCTGACACTTAGACTTGATAGTAAAACTCATTTGCACTGAATATTTTGTTGCAGCATAGCACATGATATGTATTAGAAAAACACTTAGATACAGGCATATTAGATTATGGACACATGAGATTTTATTTCTAGATAAACTCATATTTTCCTGCATGTGAGTCATGTAAGTTTCTTGTGTTAAAAAAATATTAAAGCACAGATGAAAGAAAAACCTCTAAATTTTATATTTTTTTATTGGGTTAGAATAACAGAGATTACTTATGATGTTCTTGGTGCTGCTTTCCCTTTTTCTTTTAATAAAAACAATAGTCTGTCTTTGTCTACACTTCAAGTAAAATCTAATGAGAGCTTGGTAATGTTCCTACACAGGATGTTGGGAAAATGGAACAAAAGTAATCACATCAAATATGATTAGTTTGAGTTTCTTCCAGTGAAGTTTATGACCTGCTAGGTGGTGAAATAAGGTCTTATTCAGGAAACAGATGCTGATCTGAGAATTGGAAGTTAATGTTGCATTTGGAGAGTCTAGAGAGTCTGAAAAGAAGGTGAACTAGTGGGAGTGTGAGAGAGGTCATCTTGGCACTGGTGGGGAATGTCCTCAGAGAGTTTGTACCAATGTGGAAATGGAACCGGAAATGTGGAAAGGGGACCGGCAGCAAATGGGAATTTGTCAGGAAAAGGGGAATCTGGAGGAACTTGATTCAGCTCTTTTCTGAGGGAGGGTTTTTGCTTTCATTTGACACGTAGGTCGTAGCTTCTAAAAACAGCTCTGCAGAATCTCTCTTTGGGAACAGGATAGTATAAGGATTTTGCAGGTGAAACGGTCCCAGACTAGAATGGGAAGTGGAAATAGCACAAGTGTCTTAGCTTGGAGAGTGATTGAAACTGCCAAAAGTTCTGGTGAAAGTAGCTCCTTCAAATTTTCACAATACAAATTGCTATTTCTCTTCCATGATTCTCTAATGAGCAATAAATATTGGTGTTTTTTTTTTCTCTCTAGCACAAACAGCCTTAAGTTTGTTGCAGACCTTGGTGCTGCAGTTGAATTGGTTCACTTTTTACTTTTTTTTGCTTTGTTTTTCCATGAAGAGCAGGTGAAGGAGGTTGTCTGTTAGAAATTATATGATTGAATATTTTTTAAGTGAAAAATTTAAGTTTGGATCACAGTCATCAGCAAAACATTCCTGTAGTTTTGCAGAGGCATAACCCAGTCCACACAGAGCCTAGAGTTATCACAGTATAGCTCATATTAGCATTTAAATTATTTTTTTCCTTATAGGTTCCAGCTGGGACTGGGCTGTTAAGAAAGCATCCTCAATCAGATACTTTCATAAGGACTTCCAGCCATAATCAACTGTTGGCCGAAATGATGCAGTCCCATATGGTTAAGGATATGTGTTTAATTGGAGGAAAAGTAAGAATTTAAATTTCTTCTTTCCCTCCTTTCCCGTGGTCCTCAGGATGTAATCTAGTTCTTATTTTTTTAACTTTTTAGGGCTGTGGCAAAACAGTTATTGCTAAGGAGTTTGCTGATATACTGGGATACAGCATAGAACCTATCATGCTGTATCAGGTAAGTAGACTTACCTGCTGATGATCATGCTTTAAATATGATCTAAAATATAATACATGGATGTTGATTCTTTGTGTATATTCTCTCTCTGAGTCACTTTAAAAGCTGAAACTATGTTCATATAGAGCTGCAGCTTTTCTGAAGCTATGTTCATATGCAGCTGCAGCTTTTAAAATCACTGATATTCACGGGCATGTGTTAAAAAAATAAAGGAATAAGTTAATGGTTTTAAATGTGCTTTGGTTTTAAATGTGAAATATATAGGCCATTGAGAATGTAAACACAGGTATGTGAAGTGAAGGTTGAAAAAAAGTCAAGAGTCTCCCATAATCTTGTGAGTCAAAATACACCAAATATCACAGGATTTACAGTTGTAAGTGATAATTAGCAATGCTGCAGGGAAACATTAGCATCAGATTTAATGCAATATATTGATTTCTTCCACCCCTTTCCTTATTTAAATTTTTCCCAGGCAGCATGAACACCTCCAAAGGAAGAAATGGCAGGAGCTGCTGCTTTGGAAGGGTAGTGGCACATGGGGAGAAAGAGAGACAGTGACAGAAATGGATAGTGAGGTTGAAGGCATGAAACCAACAAAAAGTTAGAGAAAATAGAAAAGAGAAATATTACTGAGGATGAAAAAAGTCCATTTTTTTTTCCTGCACTGTTGAGAACCTCCCCAGACAGGATCCCACTGCTTTTCCTTCCCCCTGTATGGCTTCAGCTGATAAAGGCACGGACTATGAAACTGTGCCTGCGTGGCTGGAGTCAGACAGATGACTTGTGCCCTTTTCTTACGCTTTACCGTGGCCAGAGGCAAGCAGGTTTGGGTTCCAAAGCTTCATGCAAATGTAATGTTCATAGTAATATACCTGGATCCCCAGCAGTATCTGTTGCCTACTGTGCAGCGGTATGTTAAGAGAAGTGTGTAGTTTCTGAGCCAGAACTGAGTGTGTCCAGCTAGCTTACATTCTTTTCTCTGCGCTTGGCAGTGTAAACTGATTTTTAAATCATCTGAGGAAAACACCTTTTACAACTTGATAAACCTGCTTAAGGACAGGCACGCCCTAACCCTTGTTTTGTTGTGTGAAGTACAACATTGGGTACTCACCAGCAGAATTAAATGATTATTTGGTTAAAAATATGGCCACTGTTTTCCAACATCATACCTTTAATTAATATGTTTTTTTGCTGAGTAGGACGAGACGATTTCTTTTTTGGAGACACATGAGAATTGCTGACAATGAAATTAGTTACTCAGTAACCATCTTTCTTTCGGAGGGTTCTGTAATTCCTACAGAAATAAAATCTAGGCCAAGAGTTTGGAGTATTTGCTACTGAAGTCAATCTTTCCTTTGGTTTCACCGGAGGTTGATGAAGTCCAAAGGGCAGGGAGGTTTTATAGTGAGGCTTTTTGGTGATATCACACAGCATTGCTAAGGCAAATTAAAGACTGTGAGTTCATTGCTCACTATAAATTCCTCTGTAGACAGGTCTGCATAAGATCCCCTTGTATATCTATATATATATATATTTCCTATGTATAATATCTTACATAATCTCAAAGATTTTTACAGAAAGTTGTGTATCAAAAAAAAATGGTTGAATGTAGCTGAGCTATACATCTTTGGATAATTTAAAAAATACCTTTGTTTTTCTTAAAATATGTAATAACATACCAGGGGATTTGCATAGCAAAGTAATGGTATAGTTTAATGACAGAACAAATATGAAGGCTATGAAAAGTTTGATAATGCTGTAAACTTAGATTTTTTTACTTTGGTTCAATAAAGTGTCTTTTTGTTTTTTTTTGAGGGAGACACCGTAGTGTCCTAAAGCTGTTTCTAAAACTAAGGAGGCTTTTTATTTGATCAGTGATTCACTTTTATTTTCCAGTAGTTTTTGCAGATACAAAAATAAGTAATGGAGCACTTATTGTTGGTCTGAAGCAATAATGTTTTTCTTCCGGCTCTGTGAATAAATGAATTCTTAGATTCGCTATATGTATGATGTTTACTTTTAGTTTTAATACTTGCCTTATCATTCTTTCTACCTGGAGTTGGTTTAAGGGCTTGGATGGTGTGAACGAGCACAGCTCTTCATATTGATTTCACAGGAAAAAACCTCTGAAACCTTTTATATTGTGAGATGAGAAACAAATTTACCTAAACCAAGGGTTCCCAAACCGCTTAAGCACATAGGTCATCTATACTAACAGTGGACTTAGAGAACAATTACTGTCTCATTTGTGATAGGACATCATTATATGTATTTCTTGTTATATGCAATTCCATGTGGGAAAAGTACTGACAAAGGAAACTCATCCTGATTAAGAAAGGTTTGTTTTTCGGTTGTCTCTTAATGCAGTTAAGCAACAGCAAATGAGAAGCAGCAGCCAACTGGTTCTTTGTAGACTGTAGTTAGGGAGCTTCTGGTTTAAATTGTTTTAAATAAAATATTTTCTCCCCAAGGTTGAGGGGAAGGGGAAGAAGCAATATTCAAAGTGATGTTATAACAGTTTTCCGGCAACTTGCTTCTTTTCCTCCCCAGCAAAAACAGTCTTTTAATCACATCCCTAGTGTTTGTGTACTGTAATATTTTTGTTTCTAGGATTTCTTTTTTCGTCTTTTTTTTTGCATGACCTCATAATTTTTCTTTACTAACTTCTTCCAGATTTTTTTTTCGTTTGAGAAATACTAACAAAATATGAGTCCAAGTGGGCATGAAAAGCTGAAAACTTTCACCTCGTAATTGCCAAGAACATGATTAGCATTGCAAGCCATGAGAAGTGACTAAGTTGGAGGCTTGTATTGTTATAGCTGCTAAAGGGAGTGGAACAGAAGTTACCCTACTTGTTTACTCTCACAAGCTCCTTTTTTCCTGTTTACAAGATATTTTAGAAAATAAACAATGCAATGTAACACATGTAAGTTACAATGACTGTTACAAATTAAAATAAGAATTTTGTTTCACAAGGCAATATAATGCTGCCATTGCCTTGCCCAAAATAGGGGGAAAAAATTAATTCATATACTTCTGTTAACTCCTCTCCACAGGGATGGATTTTTAGTGTTAGAGTATTATAACTATATGTCCTACTTTTATATTTTTAATATCATATATTAAAAGTTGGTTTAGTATGAAGAAATAGGAATAATTAACTACCGGGCAAGTACTTAGGTATAAAACAAATCCCTTACAGAAACTGCATAGATGTTAGCAAGTGATTCTTCTTTTTAATGCATCACTAAACTGAATCTCATTCAACCGTTTACATTGCAATCTAAACATTTTGCAGCAAAATACACTTCTGAATTCATCTCCTGAAAATTAATGCATGGTTCTCAAGTGATTGTGGAATTACAGCTGGGCATTCTATATAGTATACTAGGCTCCCAATCAATTCATGCTATTTGTGTGTTGTTTCATTCCTCTAGAAGTGGAATTAGAAGGTGTGTTGGTTAAATATTCAGTTATACAGCGTTTACTAGCTACTGAATGCACATTTCTGGTACAAGTCCAAAAAACGCACTTTTTTCTGGCATTCATAAAAATGTTTCGTATTCTGGTTTTAGTCTAACTCATTAATAAAATAGAAAAGAGCAGTAAAAAAGAAAATCCACAAATGCAGCAATAAAAATATGGTGTAGTTTTGTGGATTTGAATGTGTAACTTTAAATTATACAAATGTGGAAGCACTGAAGGAACCAGACTTTGTCCTGTTATTTTAAGGCTTTTAAGGAATTGTAGAAAGAGGAAATGATTCGGGCCATGTGATGTAATATGTTCTATTTTTATTCTTAAGAGTTCAAAGGGTTTATAGTTGTGAAAAGGACATATGCAAAAGCCACAGCTACAATAGAAAATATTTTTCTCATCTGATTTTATGTTAAGTTTTGTTCACAGCACAGCCTGAGGAAAGAATTTCATCTTCCAGGTCACGAAATGGCAGTTACGACTTTGTTGCTCTAGTGCTTACCTGTTATAATGGAACATCTCAAATATGTATGCTGGAGGATATGCTAGGTTCTGCCTTTGGTTTTGATTTATCCCTTAGGACTTATTTTGTGACATGCTATATACTTTGACAGTTGGTGTCTTACTGGCTTCTTTTTATTTCATTCTGTATTTTCCGATGCTTCCTCTGCATTTCCCTGCTGAGAGATGGAATGTCGTGCTGGTTTGTGTTTGGGATTAATGGTGAAATCTTTGCTCTTTCAGGTGACTTCTAGATGAAATAAATGACTCATTTGTTCTAGGTGTAAATTGCTGCCCCCTTCTGCACACAAAGCTCTGTACAAGTCATTGTAAGCTTCCATTATGTTTAATGGGGGGAAAAAAAGGCTTTTGTTCTGGTTTTATAGAGGTGGTGTGGGCAAGTCATAGAATCTGTAGAATCATAGAACAGTTTTGGCTAGAAGAGACCTTCAGGATCATAGAGTCCAACCTTTTCCTAGCCCTATCAACACCACTAAACCATGTCCCTCAGCACAACATCTACCTGTCTCTTAAACACCTCCGGGGATGGTGACTCAACCACCTCCCTGGGCAGCCTGTTCCAATGCCTGACAAAATCTAGAACTTCCAGAGTCAAGAGTGTGCATGTAGATTCGTGTGTGTATTTCTAGTACTCCTTGGAAAGGTAGTTGAAGATTTCCTGCTAATCTTCTTTGGATATATTCTCAGGGAGAACAGAATGCATTTTTTTTTTTTTTTTTAAAGAAAGCGTATGCTTGCAGATGAAGAAAATAGAGCATGAATATGTTCTTCTGATTAATTGATGCTTACAGGATATGACGGCTCGAGATTTACTACAGCAAAGGTACACTCTTCCTAATGGAGACACTGCTTGGAGACCATCGCCACTTGTTACTGCTGCCCTGGAAGGAAAGCTTGTTATTCTTGATGGCATTCATCGAATTAACCCTGGCACTCTCTCTGTACTTCAAAGGTCAGGATGTGTGCACGGATATGTTGGGTGCGCATGATCTGGTGATGGAGTGCTTGCATACTGAGAAATTGAGTTCCTTCTGGTGAATATGACCTTGTGACTGCAAGAATATTGTAAAGAACAGGCTGAGCACTGAAGTTTTGTAGATAGGTAGTGTTCCGTCTTCACATACTTAAAAGCAGAAGCAATTCTTTCATGTTCTTTGTAAGTCTATAACAATACAGGAAATTTCAGCTCCATGTAAATAGAGAATGTAAGTCTGAATTGAAGAATGAGCTAGATGTTACAGTAAATTTATGAAATCTAAAAATTAGTGATATTTGCCCAATGATTTGAAAATGCAACATGCCAGAAAACATTTAAAATACTTTGCATTTAGCTTCTAATTAAAATGTGGTCATTATGGCTATATGTGAAAGCATACTTTGTATTGATTGCAAAGAAGTCCTTCCAAACAGTATTTCATAATTCATTAAAAAATAAATTAAACCTTGCAGAACAGAAGTAGTAACGGCAAATACTGTGTTAATAGTAATAATCATTTATACTGTCAAGTCTAATTTTTCTCATATTTCATCTGCCTGCATCATATACTGCCTTTTGCAAACTGAAACGATGTCACCAGCTTTAAAAGCAGGTTGTAGCAAAAGCATTTTGTGCCTTCTTTTATTTTATATATATATATATATGCTGAAGAGCAGAAGAGAGAATTATACTAGCCTATTTTTTTGCTTTTTAGTCAGCTTAGCTGTGCATTCTGTTTTTTTTTTCTCCTGGCATGCATGTGTTGTATCTAATCAACTTCTGCATTAAAAAAAGAAAAGAGGGGTTTATATATGTGATAATCATTAAAGCCTAACTGCAATATATTGCTTTAAGAAACAAAATAGAAGTATATAACTTGGTACAAGTATAACAAAATGTCTGTTGCATGCCATTTACTAATAAGACAGAATTCTTTTGTTTCATTTTCATGCCATATCTATTTGAACTAAGCTGACTATAGTGATACTGTTTACTTCTGCGTATTATTTTACCTCCGCACTTGGATGCACCTTGAATTGGTATAACTTCTTTTTACAATGACCCATGTTGACTGAGGTAGCTTTTTAGAAAAGCATTACTTGATGTAAGTACTTTAAAAAGTGATCAAAGGCTAGATAAAGCTTTTTTTTAAAATTTTCAAGCAGACTAATACATGACAGAGAACTGACTCTCTACGACGGCACCAGATTGTTAAGAGAAGATAGATACCAGAACTTAAAAGAAGAATTACATATCTCTGATGAGAAACTGCAGGAAAGGTAAAGTGTCAGCCACAACTATAGAATGCCAACAGCATTTCATCCTGTAAAGAGCTTAATCTCTCCTGCTTTTTTCCTTTTTAATATTTTATTTACAAAAACATTATGCAAAATGCTTGCCTACTACATTGATACCTTCTAATCACTAAGAGAAACGTATTTTAAACATCAGTTTCCTCATGAGTTTTTGTTTCTTTCTTTGTGGCATGGGAAAATTATATCCTGTTTAGAATGCTTGAACTAAAGGAAAACATTCAATATCCTTTAACAGAAGGAGTTAGAAGTTGAAGAGAAATGATATGTAAAATGTAGATAGAAAGGTATATAATATTTAATTTTGCATCATTTTATTGACAGTGTTGGAATATATAGCTAAAGTCAAGTTAAATGCAACTTGTTACTTTCTTCGGCCTAATTAGGGAGAAAACTGGTATTTAATTTACAAGTAATATGAAGCAGGAAATCCTAAGGATGGGTTGGGTCTCATTATGCTTATTCTTTTTGTTTCTTCACTTCCACTTGTCTGCTAAAAACATTCCACAGATAGAATAGCTCCTCTGAAGCCACACTTGATGGGTAGTGAAACACTGCTGACGAGTTTTAGTTAATGGGAGGGATATCGTTGAATGGATGTCCAAACAAATGCAGTCTAAAATTCAGTAATACGTTCACATTGTGATTCTTAAATGGCTGTAACCTCTGCAAAAGAAGTTTTATATCGAGTGTCTAATGCTCGTAGTTACGCTGCAGGGTGTGCACTTGCCCAAACTTTGAAGAGGTCTTATCTGTTATAGTAGGGATGCGTTCATGATGTGCCACCCCATTTCTCTCAATTGTCTCGCTGCCTGTGATGTTTTTCTTTGACCTCCTTTGTAGTCCACCCTTTAGAAAAGCTGTTTTTGTATTACTGCATGGTTGGTTTGTTATTTCCGGTTTCTTTTTGATCCAAAATGCCTTGGGTTTTTGTTGTTTTGATTTGTTGGGTTTTTTTTAAAGACAGCAACAAAGCAGAACAACCTTCATTTTAAGACTTCCATAGCATTTATTTATATTTTTGTAGGTGTAATCTGAGCCTACTTGTTGCAAATTGAATCCGCTCTGCTGAGGCCGTACACCCAGCTGGATGGGTATTTCCTGCATTTGTGTTTTTTGAGTGAAGAGCTATGTATCAGGAAAGTGTTCTGTTTATCGGGATTTTAAGGCCAGACTTGGTAAAGGGAAGCAAAAAAACTCCGAGGATCCAGCTTTGCATTGGACTTTGTACTTCAAAATACATCTAGTCGTCGTGTGAGTCTCTTCCCCGCTCCGTGTTCATGGTCTTGTCCGAGATGCTTTCGGGCAGAATGGCAGTGGCTGTGCTGGTTTTGCTTGCAGTATGGTTCATGTCGACACTTCATCACACATTCAGTTTTAGTATTGCTCCTCTTCCTGGATCAAATCTCTCTCACAAGAATAGAGCTTCACATCTGACTTCTCTGTCTCCCTGCTCGTTCCAGCTGTGACTGTTTTGGCAGTATATTCCCTTATAACCTTCCTTATCCGTTAGATCATGAGAACTGACCATGCTCTATTCTTTAATGACTTCTGCAGACCCATCTGCTTACTGTGCCACCTCTGTAGATACTTTCCTTGCCTTCAGTGTCATTGAGTGACATTTGGTTCCACTGTTCAGTGGTAACTGTGCATTGCTTTTGATTAATTTGGAGGCTCCAAAAGTATTCTTTTATTTGTAACCTTCTCTTGGAAGGCTGTCCCCCTTTCCTTCAGATCGCAACGTACTGCTTTTACCTAACCACCTTTAATACTTTGTCATGTAGTGTGTTGTGAATTGCTAAGCTCTATATTATCTGTTTGAGTGCAAGTGAGCTTTCACCCTCTGATCCATAAATGAGGGAATTCTGTTTTCTTAGACAGGAGTACATTACTGATTAGTACTTGATCTGAAAACCAAAGAAACAGAAAGCCCACTGTGTAGGCATTCTTGCATCTGGAAGCTCAGTGTGACCATTTAGCACAGTGCTGGATATAGATGAAAAGTTTGGTGCCAAATTAAGTCCACAGTGCTGAGAATCCTACCTTCTCCTAGGTGAAATGCTCAGTCTGGCCCTTGTTCAGTTTTCTTCTGTATGAGGTTATTCAAAAGCAGCCAGAGTAAAGTAATGCGAACATGTATCCCCTTTTCTGGTTTTGGCCATGGGCTTCTTTGGCATCAGTGAACCACTTCTCTGTAGGAAGTGCACTGTTCTCATCAGCCCTTGAGGAACTGGAGGTGTTCCAGGACATCATCCTGGTTTTTGGTCCTTTACATACTCTGAAAACAGCACTACCCTTCACTGGCACCAGGATGTGATATCAATAGTTGCTCTTTGATTACAGAACTACATTTTTAGCAGCTACTCAACATTTTAGCAGCGGTTGCTCATCACTACAAGCTTCAGTACCTTCCAGTATTGTGGAATGACCATGCAGAATTAGCCTTTCTCTCCAGACACCTCATCAAATGCTGTCTAGGGTACTTACTGACAGCTGATTTAATTAAGAAAACATGATAGTGTTAACAATTCCTCATTTGCCTGCAAAGATTGCCTTGTGGAGATATTACACAGTATATGTTGTACGTTGAGTTTATTTTCCTGGCCTGTATCAGAAACAGTGCAGCCAGCAGGACCAGGGAAGTGTTTGCTCCCTCTGGACTCAGCACTGGTGAGGCTGCACCTTGAATCCTGCATTCAGTTTTGGGCCCCTCACAACAGGAAAGACCTTGAGGTGCTGGAGTGTGTCCAGAGAAGGCCAAGGAAGCTGGTGAAGGGTCTAGAGGACAGATCTTCTTAGGAGCCTCTGAAGGAACTGGGGTTGTTCAGCCTGGAGAACAGGAGGCTGAGGGGAGACCTTATCGCTCTTTACAGCTACCTGAAAGGAGATTGTAGCAAGGTGGGGGTCAGTCTCTTCTCCCAAGTAACAAGTGGTAGGACAAGCGGAAATGTCCTCAAGTTGCGCCAGGGGAGATTTGGATTGAATATTAGGAAATAGGTCTTTTACAATTTAAATGCTTCTGTGAATCTATTAGCAGGTTGGCTGGGCAAATTCTTACTTGGGAGAAGCTTTCCATGTCATTGAGAATTGTTGTCTGTTTTACAATGTGTCAGTGGCTGTGGCTCCTGGCCTTTGCTGTATTTCTGACATTGGAGTAAGGTGAAAAGAGAGCTTTACTTACCCTGATTTACTGGATTTGACTAAAGTAATTTCAATACAGTTGCTCTTTGCTAGCCCTGCAGAATATACGCTATCATTCCCAGTTCTTCTGGGACTGGATCTGATATGTTTGATGAGTGACACATTAAGACTACTGTTAATTTTCAAGTAAAGGAGTTGCCTACAGAAGGTGGTTTCAAGCTTTGTTTGAATCAGGAGTTTATTCTGACATCTTCTTCCCTAATTCCACTCATTCAGACTCAATTCTCATTTGCATACTGGGAATCAGTACGGTACCTAGAGTACATATTAAGTTACAAAAGTAACATTTTATTTTGTTACTAACCTTTTTATTACCTACCTGATCTCCTGTACTAATGTAGTTCTTAAGAGAAACAGAGGAAGAGGGAAAAACATACTGAGAGGCACATCAATGATTCAGAAGTGCATCACAGAGTTTTACATGCCTAAGCAGTCAGGAGGGACATAAGTGAAGTAGCTGAAGATGGTCATAAATAGAGCAGATGTGATCAAGAGAAGAAGGAAGACTTTGAGAGAAAGAACCCAAAAGCTTCATTAGGAAATGATTAGATGAGGAGAGAGAAGGCCATCTTCAGGATTTCAGAAGTGATAGCTGGACACTGGAAGGCAGCTGAGGTAGGGAAGAACTGATGCCTTACTGCCAGTGTCAGACAACATGAGAATGTGGAGCACATACTTCTTCCCCCAGTTCGGGTCAGCTTTGCTGTACGTGAATGTTCTTGATGGTAGTTACTATTTGTAGTACAGTTTGCAGTTTCCGTCTTCTGTGCTACTGCTAATCATTCATAAATACAAAATAACTCACTGTTACTGTCTGTTCTCTTAATGCAGGACTCACTGATGAGGTGACCAGGTGCTGTTGTTAGTAACGTAAATACAAATATGTCTTTTATAATGGAAAGAAGAACTGATAATGCTTGTTAGTAGACTACTTGGACTCTACTTTGTAAATGGAATTTTAAAACAGAGTTTCCATTTATTTTAGAGAAAAGGAGTACTATTCCTAACCAATGAGCCAAAAGTTCTGTAAACATTTTTCTTAGTCTATGTTTGTAAAAGGATTTGACACACCTAAAGATGTTTCTTATTTTGAAGAAGAGAAAAATTAGAGAGATTGAGGTTCCCTTCTTCACACAAACTAGACGCATTTTGTACTAAGCTTTCATGCACCTATTATGAAAATATCTGGTATTGAAGAAAAAAGAATGTTTTTTCATAGTTTTAGTGCCTCCTATTTTTAATGCTTCAATAGTAATAATACTCATATGTGTAGCAGAATAGAAAGGAAAATACTACACAATCCATCACTTAATTTCCAATCCTGATAAGTCAAGAGGGTTGTTTTTTTTTTTTTTTTTAATAAAGGAATGCTTTTTCAGGTCACACTATGGTCTAAAGAAATCATGTGTCTCTCTGTGTGAGTGTAAACAGTATTAGAGAATGTGAACGTGCTTAAACCATGGCAGTGTTATTAGCAGTGCAGGACAAAGAGGAAAGTATGTTTGACTTTCAGGTTGTTTTCAAATTTTGCAGGTTGAAACACTATTATATTTTTGGACAACTTCACATAAAAGTTTTATTAACTTTGTAAGAGCTAATAAAATATAGTCTGATTTTAAATTATGTTAATTATTGTCATTTAGTTATATGTTCACTATTTCTACATCTGTTGTGTCGGCTATGCTTTTTTTGAGAAGGGCTTCAGACCGGTGGGTGCAGTAGCTCTGTTAGGACTGACAAGTGCAAGCCCTTGCCCTTTTGAGAGTTTTGGAATATTCCTTGGCATGTTGAAAGCCGATAAGCTACAAAGGTAACTAGCAGTGGGCACAGAGTACTTTTTCTTCTGTTCTTTCTTATGCTGGCTTGGCTGTGGAGTTAACTTAGCAAACAGTGGCAGTCAGATGACATTCACTTATTTGTATTTTTCTTTATGAGTTTGAGGAGAAGAAAAAAAAAACCTGCCCTTGAGAAAGTGACAGATGGTCCTTAAAGATCATTTGCACAGGAGGAAATTATAGCTGCCTATTCCTTACTCATTTAATGATTCTATGATTCATTTTCCTGAGCAGGTTCAGAAATGAAGAGAAAGTGCTTTCAAATGCTGTGCATAATTAAGATTTCTGTATAGAATTTCTTCCGTAATCCTTCACTGAGACAGATACTGTAAGGCTGGCACACAGCCTTCACATGATGAGCAGTGAGGTGTTGGTTTGTCTTATGATGCAGTTTTTTAACCTATTTGGGAGGATATCCTCCCCCAACACAAGCACACACACACAGATAAGTCCTTGGTGTGGTGAGCAGAAAGACGTCTCTTACAGGAAAATCTAGAAGTAGGTGCATAATAGGATTGTGCAAAAGTGAGAAGAAGTCACTCGTAATGCATGGCTGGTTTTTATGCCCTGTAGACAGTGGATTATTTTCCGTGCGATTAGTTGAAAGGGAGCACGCAGTAGATGAGACAAATATAAAATGTGTCAGAGAGTGTGTTTAGCAAGCAATAAAAGTTTTTAACTGCTTACATTCTCTAGCTTTTACTTCATTTTTTGTTGTGGTTTTTTTTTGGTCCAGTTTAGTGAGTTTTCAGATAAAGTAATTTGTTGATTTTAGACTGTGGTGAAATTTAAGAAAAACAGCAAGCAAACAACAGTGGGTCATTGCGGTCCTAGTATTATAACAGTTCCCAATTCCTAAAATTTGATAGAAAATGAGATTTATTATATCATGTTACAAAAAGGGACTACAAAAATAGTTTAGATTTGCAAGGTGACGTCATTCTTTTGCTTCAGTTGCGCAGAGCCATGTGTCAGTAGCTAGAAAATCTTTCCCTGAAATTATCCTGAACATGATGGGTTCTTACCTTCCTCTTGAGAGCAGTGATAGTAATCCCTGGTTAGACTTAAATACATATATCAAAAGGAGGACAAGCACATTATTCAGAGAGTGTTCTGCTATCTGTGTTGTCAGTAAACATTGAATAAAGAGAAGAGACTCTGTATTAATCAACTAGCACCAAATCTTCCCACTGAGTTTGAGTCTCATTAATTTAAAAGGCAACATGTTTTTAAGAAGGTACACTTACTTGGCCTTCATTTGCAAAGAACACAGTATGTTAAGGATTTCTTTTTTATAAAATATAGCTCCATGTAGGAGCTCTGTGTTATATTCCTTCTGAGACTTGGTCTGTAATACTGTGGAACAACTTTGAAGCTCTTGAATTGTGCTGATGGAGGCTGGGAGCTTTGAGAGCGTTGCAGGGTTGAGTCATTTGTGGCATTTGTTTTAATAATACCCTTAGCCTGACGTTTTCAACATTGCAGACATCAGTCCAAACAATAGGCTTTTGAAGTAGCCAAATATTTTTATTCATGTTTACAGACTGGAAATCTGCAGCAGTGACATTCTGGTATGTCCAACTCTAGAGAGTACGTCAGTGACTTTAACTGATATCATCAAGTTAGTTTGCCCTGATTTTGCATCTCTTCTCCATCCACTTTCCCCCAGGCCCTCCCTCGTTGTCCCCACCACACTCTTTGAGTTAGGCACTGTCACGGAGTTGGTGCAAGAGAAATGTGTTCCCCTGGCTTGGGAAGGCTTCCCTTTACTAGTTATTGTGGAAGGACCAGAACTGGTCCTTTGAATTTGATGGATTTCTGGAGGAGGGTTGTTTTTCTTCATAGTTATGGTGCAGGAGGTGAGTCTGGAAGTATATTTATTTATCATATCTAGGAAATGTTTTCTTCTATAATAAGGATGGCTTCTGTGACCCTCTTTTAGTGCCAGTGGCATTCCCATTGGTTTCCCTTTCATGTGATGTTTCCAGACATCTATTTTTATCAGTCAGGGAGTAGCTTCTAGGCTTATGACTTTCAGCTGAGAATAACTCATGCCACCTCCTGTGTTTGCTTTGATACAAGAGACTGTTTGCTATAATCACTCTGTTGTATCACAGGTTTATTGTTGTGCCAAACATGAGCCAACTATCAGTAGATTTGTTAGTTTATGTTTAGTGGTCGTAGTCTCTCTTTGGATTTTCTTGCTTATGCCATCATGTCCCTTCTCAGTTTAACAAGGAGGAATACGTGTCTCCAAGTGTTCTGATCTCAAATGCTGTAATTCATATGGAAAATGAAATGGGAACAGGCTTATCGAGCAATATGTCTAATTAAATTTCACTTACTTTTTCCAGATAAACACCTCCTTTTTTTGATGTGTACTGTGAATTTAATTGTTGAAAACAGACCCCCATTGCACAATTTGACTGGCTTTTGTGCCTGACTTGTTACTCTGCTGCTTCTGGAGATTGTGCTAATTGAGTACCAATGAATTCCCAGTCCAAAGAGGTGATAATATTGCATAACGGAGACAAAAGATATGAAAAAGGCAAAGATACCAAAAACTGAGGCAACAGTCTTCTACTGCCCTAACACATGTATCTAGAAGTTGTATATTTAAGTTTGTATTGATCACAGTAAGCTCCCATTATCGTCAGTGGAATCAGACAGGTTTCTAAGAGACTCTTAGTCACCAAATCCTTCAGCGTAAACTAGGGAGCACTGACTGAAGCTAGCAGGTCAGTTCCATTAAGTTTTTAAAAAAATAAATAATAAAAGCACCTTTTGCAACCATGAACAGTGCACGTGTTGCCACAGGAAGCTGTGGAGGCAGACAGGATAAGTTCAGAAAGGGATTAAACAAATCTGTGAGTAAACAGAAAGCAAGTACAGATTTATCTTCAGAGACATTTGAGGGTATGGTTGTGGGTGCTGGGAGAATATGAGGGCGACATACTGATAGTGGCTTATGCGCTTTCCTCAAGGAATATCTCCGGTTGTCCTAATCAGAGACGTAACACATAGCGAGATGAGTGGATTGAAGGACCCAGTAGAGTATTTTTTAAGTTTTAGTAAGTCTTAATCTGCTCTTGGAGGGACCTGTCTCTCCATGCTGACTCTAAAATGAGCTAAGGGTGAGGTGTCTGGTTTGGCCTTTGAAGTAAAACTTTCAGGAATATTATGAAGTTCGGCATATTAATCCCATCCCAAGAGGCCAGAAGGAACATCGATAAGGGGAATAATGTTCCTTAACCATTAATAAATCTGGCACTTCATAGTATCTAGACTAATCTCTACAGTGTCATTGTTTCTGTCAGTCTAATTGAGTAGAATAAGTTACCTATTACTGCAGCTCTGATATATCTTCTCTGCCTGATTTGCCTGTGAGACGTCCTGCTTTGGGTAAAGCACTTGTAAAAATCTGTCAGATGAGTGATATGTTTCCATTGCAGTTGTACATTGCACTAGACTGTAGCTTAGTTGCTATTATTTGTTCATTTTTAGGCATGCAGGTCCTGTTGCAGATGTGAAGAGTAGACTTGGGTAGTCTTCTGAGCATAAAAAAAATGTAAATTTGTAAAATTGCCTATCACAATGCAGTCTTTGTCTTTTAAAAAAGACTATGATATGATTTAGTACACAGATTTAATTCTTGTTTTTCATCTGTTGTAAAAATTAAATTTGATATTCACTGCTTAAGGCAGATAATACATTTTTAAACTTTTTTTTGCAGGTCTATCTTTCCTATCCATCCTTCTTTCAGAATAGTGGTTTTAGCAGAACCTCCTGTCATTGGGAGTAGTGCCCAACAATGGCTGGGTCCAGAGTTTCTGACGTTGTTTCTTTTTCATCATGTCCGATCTTTAAGCAGGAAGGAAGAAATGAAAGTTATTAAAGAAATGGTAAGTACATTCAATATTTTAGGCACTTATTGACTGTTGCTTACTACATATAGTTATTTACTGCATAAAAAATATTTTGCTATTTCAGTGTAGCATAAATGAGTCTTCATTTTCAAAGCTTGTTAAAGCAGCACATCTGCTTATCTTTTAATGTTGTCGATAATAAATTCGTATTCTTATTGTGATATTAAATGATGCTGTAATAGAAAAAAAGCACTTTGTCAAAACTGTATTCCTTTTTGGTAGACATAAAACAACTGTATGCTCATTGGTTCTGGCTGCAGTGGTGTGTGGAACTTGCATGTCTTGCAATAAGATTAATATAGTTTTTCTTTCAACCAGATTCCAAATGTACCCAATGTTGCTGTGGAGCAGTTACTGTCGTTAACACACAAGCTTCGGGAGA